TGACTCTCAGCAGGGTGTGGCAGCCTCACCTGTTCGAAGGGGTTTCCCCCACTGGACTCCGCTCTTCTCTTGTGCACTTGGCGGCTGTTCCCAGCATGCTCAGCGGCAGCAGTGGTGCTGGGGGCCAGGTTGCGTTTGGAGCGCTGCAGGAAGCGGGCGACGAGGACCCGCGTGACCTTGAGGTCGCCCAGCGAACGGGCACAGTCCTTGGGCAGGCGCAGCAAGGCGGGGGGTGGGGCCTTGCTGGGCAGCTGGCCGCCACTCTTCATGCTGCACTTCCTGGGTAGGGCACCAGAGGGCGCCAGAGAGTTGCGGGGCAACAGACAGGCTTCGGAGGAGGGACCTGGGAAGACAGAGGGGGAAAGAAGAAAGGGAGAGATGGGACAGAAATTAGGGAGAGGCGAAAGAGGGAGAGGTGGAGAAGGGAAGCCAGACGAGGGATTTCTAATGCGCTCCCAAGCAGCGGACAGGACTGAAGCTGTTTTGTCATTTTTCTCACCCGTGTCTGAGGAGGTCTGGGAGACGTCATCGCTGACTCCCTTACTGCGCAGCGAGGCACTGAGCTCACCTGGGGGGAGAGGGACAGCGAAATGAAGGTTTGTCACCCTCCCTCTCTCTCTCTTCCTCTCCTCCTCCTCCACCCCTCTCTCTCTCTCACCTGTGTCTGTGGATGACGTCAAGCCGGGGTCACTGTGCGACCTCATCAGGGGGTGTGGCGCCAGGCCTCGGGGAGGGGTGGGGGGGCGGGACTGGTCGCTATGGCGCCGCTGGGGGGGCAGGAGGGGGCGGGGGGAGCCCTGGGGGCTGGGAGACCCCCCGTCAGAGCCGCAGCGGGAGGGGGTGCAGGGGCGCACCCTGATCTCTGGTATGCGCTGAGAAGCGGCGCCCCCTAGCAGCTCCAAGCGGGTACAACTGCTGGCCAGCACGGCCTGATGGCGCAGCACTGGAGACCTGGAGAGACAGAGGGGGGTGAGATACGGGCTCTCCAGGAGACTAGGGGCAGG